AAAAAAAAAAAAGTCTGTTTTTTGGTTTGTCTTTTTTTTTTCCCCATTTGCTTGTTTTTTCTTAAATTCCACATGAGTGAAATCATATAATATTTGAATTTGTCTATTTCACTTAGCATAATATTCTGCTAGAATTTTGAGATTACCTTGAATCTATACATCAATTGGGGAGAATTGTCAATATTGAGTCTGTGGATCCATGACCTTGTTATGAACTGAATTGTTCCTCAAACCTCATGTTGCAGCTCTAACCCTCTGGTCTGTGATAGTTTCTCAGACATTCCTTGTTTGTGATGACCTTGACAGTCTGGAGTCAGGTACTGTGTGGAATGTCTCTCAATGTGGGTTTGTCTGAGATTTTCCTCATGGTTAGACTGGGGGCCGCAGAGCCATTCTCATCATACCGAAAGCATACACTATGGTGGCCGATGCTAACTTCTGTCACGTGGGAAGTAGGTCACCAAGCGCCACCCACTCCTAAGGAGTGGGGACTTAGGGTGCACCACCTGGAGGGGGAGTATCTACAGAGTTGTTTGTTACTTCTCTCTCAGTCATTGATATCAGTATGGACTCATGGAAATTTATTTTATACTTTGGATTTTAATCCAATACAAAATTATTTTTTTGCTCAAATTGTTCCAGCTTTGGGCAGTGGGAGCTCTTTCAGGCTGGCATCTGTCCCTTTGACATTAAATATACCTCAAAATTGTGGTAACAGATACCTAACATTTACCACCTTAACCACTTTTACGGAACCGTTTAGTAGTGTTAACTATATTGACAGTTGTGAAAAGACCTCTAGAACTTCTTAATCTTGCAAAACAGAAACCGTTCCACTGAACAAGTCCCCCTTCCCCACCCTGCTGCAGCCGAGGTTGCTGGATTCCTCTGGGGACCTCGCAGACGTGGGATCCTGGAACACTTCTCTGTGCTTGTTTCACTCGGTGCAGTGTCCCCAAGTTGCATCCTTCTCTTCAGAGACTGCTGGTCAACTGTGCGTATATACTAGATAAATAACGCTGCGGTGAGGCTGGTGTGCTGAATCTCTTCGAGATCCGGGCTCCAGTTCTTTGGGGGTATAGATCCAGGTTGCCAGATCACTTTTCATTTTTTGAGGCACCTCCATACCGTTTTCCACAGCGACCACATTATACATTCTCACCAACAGTGCACAGGCGTTCCAATTTCTCTGATCCTGACCAACACCTGTTCTTTTTTTTTCCCTTCAACTTTGTGGAGTTGAAATGCATTAATTGTAGCAGCCAGAGCTGCACCATTCCGTTCCCCTCCAGGAGACCCTGACACAGGAGCATGGTAGGCAGCCTCCTGCCAGGGCCCTTCCTTAGACCGACCGAGGCGTTTGTGCTGCAGCTACCCTGTCCCCCGGCGGCACCCAGCCACGGACTGACCAAGGCGGGCGGGCGAAGCCAGGTCATGTCTGCCCACCTCGACTTTTTCCACGAGGAAGCCCAGCCTGACCAGGACGTTCCCAGGTTGCCCTGCAGGCTGGGCTTTTTCTAATCAACCCTCCCTCCTTCCTCTTCTCTGTCCACACGGGCCTGCCCCCTCCCTTTCCCCCTCATTGTGTTTCCCCCTATAAACTCCTGCAGCTGATTTTGTCTTGGCATCTGCCTCTTTGACACACAGGATTTTGGGAAGAAGTGAAATTAGATGTTTAGCCCACTGTCTTAAGAAAGAAGTCACTATGAAGTTTTTGTGTTCTTTAAAGATTACACATTTCAAGTTTCATTTGACTATGCGAAAATAAGTTACTTCTAACACATTTATTATCTGAGAGAAAATTTATTTATTCTAATTTACTGAAACTTAAAATATTCCATCAAATTACCCAGGAAAATCCAGGTAGCAGAAATATTTAACACATTTCTTCAGGACATCTCAAACAAGTTTTAAAAGGCCACAGAATGATCTATAAATCTGCCACTGAAATCACTTCCATGTTGTGCAAGTGCAGAAGTGAGCAGAGGTGCAGTCTGCCCTCCCTGTGGCTGCGCGGGAGTTCAGGTTACGTGTAAGTATGACCGTGAGGTGCCAAGTCACCTGAGGAATCATCCCCATTTCAATTGTGGACCCGAAGCAGCAAATCATACGTGCCCCAGAAGGGAACATCTTCCATGTGTGTGGGGGGGGACAGGCACGTGCCAGGGGAAGGCTGACTCCGCCACATGGGGGACGAATGTTAGAAGTCTGCCGTCGTCGGTAATACAGAAACATACACAGTCTTCATGTTCAAAGTCTTCATGGGGATTTCTTCAGTAATTTCTAGAATGGGAAGATCAAAAAAAAAAAAAAAAATGTTCTACCTGTTCTGTATATTTAAAAACTGTTGACTGTGGATAGGATCTGGCCTCACCCTAAGGAGTCTGGTCTTTGTCCCATCTCCTAGGGGACCCTCTAGACCCTTGGGACTTCGTGAGTGATGGGAGTGTTTTGTTTATGGTGGGCCCTGAATACCCCTCATAGTTTCTGCTAATGAGGTGACTCACGTGACTTAGGGCAGAAGCTTTCAGTTGCGTAGTATGCCCGCGTAGAAACAGTGCGGCCGGGTGGCCAATGAACCAGCTGTGCCAGGTAATGAAGCCGCACTGCAAACTCTGGACCGCCCAGGCTTGGGGAGCTTCCCAGGTCGGCAACACACTGCGTATTACTGCCACACAGCGGGGCCAGAAGGAGGGAACACTGCCCACGACTCCTTGGGAGAGGGCAACTGGAAGCCCCATGTCTGGACCCCTCCCAGATTTGGTCCTCTGTACCTTTTCCTATAACCTAAGTTCAGTAGTTTCCAGTGAGTTCTGTAAATCCTGCTAGCAAATTACCAAACCCGAGGGTGATTTTGGGAAACCCACTGAACTTACAGTTGGCAGAAGTGACAGTGGTCTTGTGTGGCCTCTTCCCTGAGTCTGTCAAAGGCGCCTAACTCCCTACAGTTTGGGCGAAGTCTTGGGCAGACCTTCTGGAGGAATGCCCCTCAACCTAACTAGCCCTGCGTGCTGGCCCAGACATCTGCATACCCTGCCCCAAACAGGTGTTTCCTAGGCCCACGGAGAACCATCGTGGTCTCTAAATATTAACTCCCTACGGCAAGAGGAATCGCCGTGTTTGGGTCTGGGGAAGTATGAGGGCGTGGTAAGCCTGTAACATCTTATGAGGCCAGAACACACAGGTACCAAAACGGAAGGCTCGTGTAAGAGAATATGGGAGCTGATACAGCCAATGACAGATACGCTGAGCATCTAAAAGTATAAGACAAATGTAACTGATTAAAACACACTGAATAGAGGGCACCTGGGTGGTCCAGTGGGTTAAGCGTCTGCCTTCGGCGCGGGTCATGATATTAGGGTCCTGGGATCGAGCCCCCAGTCAGGCTCCCTGCTCAGTGCAGTCTGCTTTTCCCTCTCCCTGTGACCCTTATGGTCACGCTCTCCCTCTCTCAAAGTAAAATCTTCAAAACACACTGAATAGATAAAAACCCAAAAAGAGAGAAAAGAAAACCTTAAAACGCTCTTTGCCCACTGGGGAGGCATTTTGCTTCGAGCAGACCTGAATTCAAAGGGAGGGACCAACATTCTCTACAAACAGCTCTCGTCCCAGCAGGAATACGACATCGCTCCTAAAGCTGCCTCTGTTGTAGATAACTACAGGGCCTGGAGATGATACCTGGAGATGATACTGAGCATCTCGTGAAACAAGCAGGAAGCCATTATGTGATCCTTCTAATGTACCAAATTAGCACTATTTTACAAAAGACAACATTGAGAGGAGAAACACAATGAAAATGAGGCTGGGCAGAGACACTGGGCTGGAAAGAGCCCCAGGCTTCTCGGGGATCAGACCACTGAGCCTTTGAGGTCTCAGGGCACGGAGAGGTCACATTGGGACCACAAGCAAGGCCTGCTTTGTGAGCCACGGGCAGAATCTCACAAACGTGGTGGTGCCCTGGTCAGTGTCGGCCAGGTGCCTGCACGAACACAGAACCAGAGACAACGATGCCTCTTCATGTCCACGGCTCGGCTGCCCCTGGGAACCAGCGCACGTGGGGGATAAGAAAGCGGAGGTAAGTTTCACCCACGCAGAACAAGACAGAAGAGCCAAGTATATTGGAGGCAAAGTGAAAGGAGCCTGCTGATGGGAGGACAGCCTGTGGACATCACTGGAGGCAGACAAGGGCCCAAACAGGCAGGATCTTGTGCGTCCAGAGATGATTCTGAAGCATTAGCTAATGGTGAGCCGTGGGGACTCTGAGCAGGGACACCATCAAGGGAGGAACACACCGGAGACAACTCTGGTAGAGGTGGACTGGCCACTTCGACAGAGGATGGGGCCCTAAGCCAGCGAGGGTTGCAGACACAGGGAGCCTCTGAGAGCAAAGTGGAGGCACAGAGTTGTGTCTGGTTAGAGAGGAACCCGGGTACAACGGAGGCTTGAGTCTAACAACGGAGCAGAGAATTGTAAAGTGTAATAGAAAACATAAAAAAAAAAGCTGAGCAAGGGAAGAAAATGAGGGAAATCTCTAGGCCAAAAATCATGAATCCCAAGATGTACCTGAACATTTCGGTTTTCTGTCGGTCCTGGTGGCCTAAAGCTTTGGCACTAAAGGTTATCAAAGTGAGACAAGAAAAACCCTGGGGTCTACAGACTGGGAAGTCCAGTGACCCGTCCTCCCCACAAATGCTGGGGCCTCAAATAAGGAACCCACAGCAAGAGTGCATTTCAAACAGATCCCTCACCACCGAGAAGACAGTTAAGAGAATGCAGTGGGTCTGAGTCATGGCCTTCCAGAAGATGTGCCCATGTTCTATTTCCCGGAAACTGTCTGTGACCACAGAGGCTGAGGCCGGGGTGATGGGGTTACAAGTTCAGGACGCCTGGAACCACCAGAAGTGGGAAGAGGCAAAGACCAGATTCTGCCCTGGAGCCTCCAAAGAGGACGCCGCCCTGCTGACACCTGGCCTCTGGCCTCCAGAACCGAGAAGACACTTGGTGGTCTCATAGCCCCGGCTTATGACAATCTGTCTGGTCAGCCTCAGCAAACCCTATGGAGAACCTGCCTCACTCAGCCTTGCTGTGGGCCAGGGACAGAGAGGACACAGCCCCATGAGGCTCTGGCCCTCGTGCTGTCCAAACACTTTCTGTGGCCCCAAGTCACTGAGTTGAAATGGGCTTGGGTTGACAGCATCCCCAAACAACAACAGAGATGCTCCTTTACACGCAGCTTCAACAGAAACACCACCAACTGCTGTCGTCAGGATTCTAGAAACAACCAAAGGTTTACAGAAACCATGTGCATGCCACATCAAGAAAAAGGCAACTTGTGGTAGGAAGGTCTGTGGTTGTCCCACTTGGGCTTGGCTGCCCAGCCCTCCCAGCCCGAGGACCCCGTTGTCCCAGGAGGAACAGAGCAAAGGCACCGTGTGTGTCCTAACCCGACTGGGGGCCGTCTGGGGGGCCTGCAGAGGGTGCTTGTCTCCGTTTTGCCGAACCTGGAACTCAGCCAGGGAGGAAAATCGCAGGTATCACTGGGAAATACTGTCAGGCAAACAACAAGCCCACAGCTGCTGCTGCTGGTGCAAGGTCGCAGATGCATCATGTGACAGAGGGCTTAATCGGGGGGGAAAGTTGAGGACGGCGCGATTCGGAAAGCCGCAAGCATGACCAGGGCAGGATGCACACACAGAAAAGTGCCGGGAAGACCCCAAGCTTTCAATTCTGAACAAAGTAAGAGCTTTTCTGGCCAAATCTGGCTGATGAGGGCCGAGCTGAGGGGCAGTGAAGACATCCCGAATAAACAAAAGCACCAGGTGTCCAGCACCGCCAGAGGGCCTTGGGCTGGGCAGCAAGGACGCTGGTGGTAACCGCCACCTGATGCTGCATGTCTGGTTTATAACTCTATTTTCTGTTTTCTAGAGGATTTAAAAGACAAATACATAAAGCACAATTAAGAATTTATGTTTTGGGACACACGAAGCAGTTTCCCCGACAAGAATACAAACAGGGGCAGAGTTTTTGAAACTAAAGTCAAATTGGTATTGATTCAAATCAGACTGTTGTTAATTTAGGATGTTAACTGTAATCCCTGTGGTAAACACTAAGAAAATAGCAAAAGAGAAATACACAAAAGGAAGTGAGAAGGGAATTGAGATAGTGCGCCTACAAAAAAAAAAAAAAACCAACTGGACACCCAAGGAGGAGGCAATTTAGGAGGACACGAGGGAGAAAACAGGTGTAAGACTTCCAGAACAAAAATCCCAGCAAAATGGCACAAGTCCTTCCTGATTAGTAAGTACATTTTTTTTTTTTTTTTTTAAACCAGGGCCTAACCAGCCTGGAGGAAGGGATGTACCAGGTCCAGCCCTGCCAGGCCCTCTCTCACCAGAGGAAGAAACAGAGAAGCTGGGGTCATGGCCCAGGGACACAGGGTCCCTGGAGACTGAGCACTAATCACACAGCTACAGAACAAGTCCCATCCCCTGTGGGCTCCTACAGGACAACAACAGGGTTAGAGCTGGAAGACGCAGAAGCATGGACACCTCTGATGCCAGACAGACATACAGCCTCACCCCAACTTTTCACCTCAGGGCATGTGCCCCAATACCTCGTGTCAGACTGTCAACAAAAAGCTACAAGGCATCCTGAAAGGCAACAGAACCACTGTAGGGTGAGACACAGCGATCTTCACACTAGGCGCAGATGCAGCAGAGCAGCAGGGATGAATCACTAGGGTTCACACACCAAGGCTCTAGCGGGTGAAGGAGACGCACTTGGGGACTGATGGGCAGTGTGCGCACAGAGGTGGGTGTTCTGAGACGGAGTGAAGAAGCTCTTTTACCAAAACACGTACACCAGGGTATAGCACATTCAAACTGCAGAGAACCAAAGACAAGACATAACTTTGGGCACTTTTTCACCAGCACTGAGGTGCCAGATCCCGTCAGAGCGTCCAGCAGACCCAGGCTGCAAGGCTGAATGAACAAACAGGTTTGAGTTATGGTGACGGGAGGGATGGCCACACACAGAGAAGCTGTTTGGAGAAAGGGCTCCAGGAGCAGCCACGCGATGGGGAGCGCCCTGGCGTGTGACAGGGATGAAGGAAGAGCACGGGGCTGATGGGGCCGGCAACTCTGGGACGCTGAGACCAGAGTGGGTTTGGGGAGAGGCACACGAGCCAGGGGCCGCCGCCGTCCCCTTCCCGAGTGACAGGGCTCTCCGCTCTTGGGCACTCGCTGAGAAAAAGCCTGCAGGCATGCCCTGCACGCGGTGGAGGCAGCACAACGCCAGATACGAGCTTCCCACGAGCTGCTGTTTTACAATATTGTCATCGTTCGATCCTTGGGGAAGAGAATGATCTTAGAATCAGCAAACAATGCTAATTTATCTAGAAGCATGTGTTTCTAATTGCTTACCAATATACTTTTAAGGTTATTTTCAAAAGTGAAAAGCAATCATCCTTTTAATTAATTTAACACTGTAGTATGGCAAATTTCTGGAGAAAGGGGAAAAAAAAAAAAGACACCAGAAAACCAGAAATGAAGCAGATGTAACACAATCTGTCACCTCACCGTGTGTCTGAGTCTCGTTCAGAAACAGCTTGAGCTTCCTGCTGCGAAGGCCAAACACCTTGGCTGCCTCATACAGAAGGCCCTGGTGAGTGAGTCCGTTCTGCCCACGTGGGTTTTCCAGCAGGAGCGTGCCCACCGTTCCCTTCACACACTCTGCGGAAGAGACCACCACTGGGTCAGGTCCTGAGAGCGCACCCCCCTCCCTGCCCCCCACTGGCCGCCGGCCCCTGTGCAGAGTGGAGGCTCCAAGAGCCAGCAGGGCCCAGAGAGCTGGGCATCCAGTCTGCAGAGGGGAAAGGGCAGGGAAAACGGAAATCCCAACAGGTATAAAGGCCCGCAGCTGGGGAAGAGACACTCCGTAAACACATGCTGTGCACGGTGAGGGCCCAATATATCAAGGAAAAATAAATATCCATCTAGTCTGCTGACCGAGGCATAGATGTGTACAACAGATTTCAAAACACTTTCCAGGAAAAAAAAGTAAGGCAAAAAACATTTAAGTGGCTCGGCACTTAGTTCCACTTCATTTGACAATAATGTTTATGTGCCAGTTTACCCCATCTCCTGACTCTGCCGATGGAGGGTGTTTCCACATAAACACACCAAGAGAAGCAAGCCTGCGTGTGCTCTCCAGGGCAGATGGGAGTGCGCACCTTAAGGCACCACATCCGAGGCAGACCGTGAAAGGAAACCCCGACGCCAGCCCCCCACGACCCGCCGGCCGCCGGCGCAGGGTTGGCCGGGGGAGGCGCACCTTGAGGGCCTGCGTTCAGGAGCTGCAGGTTGATGTAGTGGCAGAGCGCAGTGCTGGGGCCGTCCACCACAGCGGGGGCAGAACCCGCTCCCACTCTAAGTGTTTTCCCACTAAGACTCAGTAAGTCAGTCTGGTTTCGTATTTCTAGAAATAACAACAAAGAGAGCAACGACAAATCACTCTTGCAGGCTATATAGTGCAGAGCTGAAGTTATTCACTTGTTTCTCCTTAATTATTAAACTATCCTTTATCTTTGCAGTGATGCTTTCCACTTAATTTCTCTTTATCAGATGAGGCTTAAATGACATGCAAATAGCAGATGTGAATGTTGCAAAACCGCGTAATAGCAATAACAAAAATATATGGCAAATTGTTTTTTCTTTTAGTATTTTCCCTGATATTATAGATTCTCTTAAAATCTCCTACGTCAGAACACTAAACTTCGCTGTGAAAAGAAGCCTTATACTAAAACATGGTAATTATAGTCAGAAGAAAACGGATCATTTGACTCAGGAACACATGTGAAAAACAGCAAGACACAGGGAACACATGCAGATCTCATTGACCTAAAACTGAACACTGCTGAGGGTCGCAACCATGGCTGGGACAGGTCCCCGGGGAATAGGGGCTGTAGGACCTCCACTCTGGACCCGCACCTGTGGCTCCCCAGAACTCCTCTGGGCCGGGTCACAAAGGGTGATGGCATCTGACACTGAGAGCCTGCCCTAGTCTCTGCCCATCTGGCGGCTCCTCCATCACAGCCCAGCAGCTCGCCTGTGTTTGTTGGCCAGTTACATCCCTTCTTTTAGGCTATTTAGAATTTCCTGAAAATGAGCATCCAGATTCTTACTAAAGAGGGTGTACTCATCTTACATGGCTGCCATTAAGAGTCACAAACACGGGGCTTAGAGCAACAGAAACCTACTGGCTCTGATCCTGGAGGTGAGACGTCAAAACCGAGGTGTTGTGTGGGCCCTGCCCCCTTGGAAGCCTGCACGGTGGCCCTCCCCATCCTCTTCCTAGCTCCTGGAGGCTCCCAGACGTCTGCTTGCAGTTCCCCAATTCCAGCTCTGCTTTTGTCATCACAGGGCTGTGTCCCTGTGTGGTCCTGGGAACATCCCTCTTATCTAATCACACTGGCAACAACCCTGTCTCCAAAGGTCACATTTGGTGGTATGCAGGGGAAGGACTTCAACATGTCTCTCTCTTAATTTAGGCTCGTCTTACTGAGGATCTGGGTCTAGTAAGACACAGACACTATGCTTACTAAAGTCAAAGCACAGCAGGGCGTCTCTGAGGCCTGGACCCCAGCCCGTGGCCAACAGAGAGTAGACAGGACGGGAGGCTCCATCTCCTGAGGGGCACAGAGACGCTGTCCATCTGGGCAGGGATGAGGGCAGGTTCACAGTGTCAGATGCTGTCACCATCCCAGCGGGCACAGAGACACTGTGGCAGGGCTGCTGAGGGCCGGGCCAATCCAGACTCAGGAGGAAGGCATGGCTGTGGAGCAGAACCAATACCAAACGACCCACTTCGCGTCAGAGGACAGCTCCCGACTTTCTACGTACCTGTGGCACCATGGAGGACAGCCAGCTCAGTATTTTTCACACCAAAAATACTAGTAATAACACTCTTCAGCTTTAAAAGGTCCAACCTGTTATCGCCTTTTGGATTTTCCAGAAGCAATACTCCACCTAAAGAACCACAAATATAAGTAAAACTGAAGGAAAAAGAAGTTAAATTTGAAAGAAAAATCCAGGAAAACGCCACTTATATGTTCCCTCTGGTCAATGTCTGCTCGTGTCTTTTCCCCACTGTCTAACTGGATCTTTTTTTTTTTTTTTAAAGATTTTATTTATTTGACAGAGAGACACAGTGAGAGAGGGAACACAAGCAGGGGGAGTGGGAGAGGGAGAAGCAGGCTCCTCGCCAAGCAGGGAGCCCCATACGGGGCTCGATCCCAGGACCCTGGGACTATGACCTGAGCTGACGGCAGACGCTTAACAACTGAGCCACCCAGGCGCCCCTAACTGGATCTTTTTTAAACTGTGAATGGGGAGAGTTCTTCATGTACTTCGGACACACCTGGCGGGGGAAATGGTTTGTAAGGACCACCTCCTGCCTTGTAGCTCAAGCTTTCATCCTTTTCACAGGATCTTTCACAAAGCATAAATAAATAAATTATTGGTCGGACAACATATTCTATATGGTTTCAATCCCTAAATGTGTTGACGAGTTTTATGGCCCAGCCTACAATCCAGCTTGGTAAATGTCCTGTGGGAGCTTGAACAGAATGTGCATTCTGCTGCTGCTGGGTGAGCTGTTCCATTAATGTTCATTCAATTCTGGTTTTCTGTCTAGCTCTTCTATCGATTGTTGAAAGAGGTATATATTCATTTCAAACTGAAACTGAATTTTCTCATTCTCCTTTAAGGCTGTCAGTTCTCTTTTGTGGTTTGCAGCTCTGCTGTTAGGTGCATCCACATTTGGGATCTTTATGTTTTCCCTGTGGTTGACATTTGTAGCATTACTTAATGTCACTGGTGACTTTCTTTGCTATGAAGTCTACTGAAATGAACATAAACATTCTTGCTTTGTTTTTTAAAAATTTTTTAAAAAAGATCTTATTCATTTATTTGAGAGAGAACACACACATGGCGGGTGGCGGGGCAGAGAGGAGGGAGAAGCAAACACCCCACTGAGCAGGGAGTCTGATGCGGGCCTCGATCCCAGGACCCTGAGATCATGATCTGAGATGAAGGCAGACGTTTAACTGACTGAGCCACCCAGGTGCCCCTTCTTGCTTTTTTTGATTAATGCTTGTATGGTATGTCTTTTTATTTTCAATCTAACTGTATTGTTATATTTGAAGACTTCCTTATATATTGCATATAGCTGGTAATGTGTTTTTCTAAGTCTGCCAATCTCTATTAGTTGGTCTATTTAGAACCGTTTATATTTAGTGTAATTATTTTTTTTTTTCAAAATTATATTTATTTATTTGACAGAGAGAGCACACAAACAGGGGGAGTGGTAAGCAGAGGGAGAGGGAGAAGCAGGATCCCCACTGAGCAGGCAGCCCGACGTGGGCCTCGATCCCAGGATCTTGACCTGACCAAAGGCAGACGCTTAACTGACTGAGCCACCCAGGTGCCCCTATTATTTTTTAGAAGTAATCTCTACGCCCGAGGTGGAACTTGAACTCACAACCCGGCGATCAAGAGTCACATGCTCCCTCAAATGCGCCAGCCGGACCCCTCCCCCATTTAGTGTAATTCCTGACCGTAAGCTTAAGCTTTCCCTTTTATTTTCTGCTTTCCACTTGTTCTGTTTTCTTTCTCTAGGCTCCCTGTGGGTTACATGAACATATTTTAGAACTCCCATTTTTATTTCTGTAGTGTTTTTGTGTGAATCTCCAGAACAGGCTGTTTTAGTGGTTGCACTAGGCGGTACCTCATATGCATATAACAACTTGCCTACTGGTGTTGGCATTTGACCAGTTTGAGGGAAGCACAGAAACCTGACCTCCCTTCCCTCACTTTGCTCTTCCCTACTTTCAATTTTCTTTAAAGATTTTATTTATTTGACAGAGAGAGACACAGCGAGAGAGGGAACACAAGCAGGGGGAGCGGGAGAGGGAGAAGAAGGCTTCCCGCAGAGCAGGGAGCCGGACGCGGGGCTCGATCCCAGGACCCTGGGATCATGACCTGAGCCAAAGGCAGCCGCTTAACCATCTGAGCAACTCAGGTGCCCCTCTACTTTCAATTTCCTTTATTATTTCTTGCATATACACTGAGATGTTATAGTTTTTGTTACAACCATCAAATTATTTAGAAAATTCAAGGAGAAAAGTCCACTGAATTTACCTATATTTTGACTCTTTTTGTTGTTGTTTCTTCTGTCCTGATGTCCCTACATTTCTTCTTTTGTCATTTTCTTTGTTTTAAGAATTTCCTCTACCTATTCTTTTAGAATTAGTCATGCTAACAATGAACTCTTTTAGTCTCCCTTCATTTAGGGATGTCTTGATTTTCCCTTCACCATGAAAGATATTTTGCTTGATACAGAGTTTTCGGTCGACAGTACTCCTCTTGTAGCATTCTGCCTTCTAGCCTCCAAAGTTTCTGACAAGAAATCCAATACTGTTCCAGTTGTTTTCCCCTGTAGGTTAGGGAGGCATACTCTCTCGCTGCTTTCAGGATGTCTTCTTTGTCTTCAGCTTTCAGAAGTCTGACTACGCCATGTCTCAATGTGAATGGAGTTTTTGGGTTATCGGGTATGGGGTTCTCTCGGCTTCTTGAATCTGTAGGTGTACATGTATTGCCAAATTTAGGAAGTTTTCAGCCATTATTTCTGATTACTTTTTCAGTCCTGTCGTTCCTTCTCTTTATCCCAGAATTCAGTGACAGAATATTAAACTTCTGTTAATATCCCATAGATCCTTAAGATTTTTCTGATTTTTTAAAAAAACTCTTTTGTTCAGACTGGGTAATTTCTATTGTTCTAGCTTCCATTTCACAGACTCTTTCCTGTCCCTTCTATTCTGCCGTTGTGCCCATCCACTGGGTTTTGTATTCTAGTCTTGTATTTATCAGTTTTAAAATCTTCATTTGATTCCTGATATCCACTTCTTAGCTGAGGCTTCCTATTTTCATTTGTTTCTTTTGTGTTTGTAATTGATCTGTGGACCATTTTTATTATGGCTGCTTTACATTCTGTCAGATAATTTTTTTTTTTTTTTTTTAAGTAGGCTCCATGCTGGGGAGCCAAATGTGGGGCTTGAACTCAAAATCCTGAGATCAAGACCTGACCTGCCGAGGTAGGATGAAAGCCCCAGCTCACTGTGTGGGCTTGTCTGATACCACGAGGTGGTAGGGGCCTGAGGCTCCTGACAAAGGTCTAGCTCCCGACTTGGTCTTTGCCAGTGGGGCCAGTTTCTTCTGTTGTGTTTGGCTGGAATAGAACAAATACTGTCTAGAAGTTTTCTGTCTTGCTAGGCTGCGCCTCTCCTGGTTCTCTGTCTACAGAGAGCAGGATTTTGTTGGAGCATTTTTGTCTGCATTAGGCATTTCCAGGTTGCCGGCTTCTTCAGCTCCAAGTCTGGGATCTATGAAGCAAAAGGAAAAGCCAGCCCTTTTCTCTCCCCCATCACACCCAAGGTGTATGCTTGTACTTTGTGGGAAGAATAGGGAAGAGCATGTCTACTCCATCTTCCTGGAAGTGCAAGTCCAATCATTTACTTTTGTGGATTCATTTTGATGGCAATTAGAAAGAGAAAGTTGTATGATTTTATTAATTCACTTACAATAGTCTTAAAGACATTCATAGGTTTAACTAAAAAGCAAAGCACAAGCCATGGGATTAATTTACTCTTACCTTGCTCGCTGCCATTTGTACAGATGTTAAGATTGACATATGCACAAGCAGGACCAGGCAGGGATGATCCTCTGGTGATTGCAATTTCCAGGTCAGAACCCTTTAACTAAGCACATGAGAGCGTGGGACTGAGTAAGTGTGGCACTGACCAGTGTCACCAACTAACATAGCAGCTACTTCTCACACCTAGAGCTCTGTAGGATTCTGCGAGCATATTCAATCTCATCACTAAAACAGTCAAAAGCTTTGACTTTTCACGTTTCTCTTTTCACCTTGTTCTTTTAAAAACATGCAGAACAGAAAATGAAACCATCTTGTAACTTGCCCCACTGAAAAGACTAACAGTGACATCCAGCCCCTGCCTGTCTGTACCATCTGTCCCTTCTATAGAAAGGAGGAATGAAAAAAAAAAAGAAAGAAGGAATGAGACAAGGAATACATGGCAGAGTCAGTGACTGATACAGAAAGGAACTCCTTCCCCTATTATAAATGACCTATTTCTGAATCATGGCCCATATCTTCCATGTTCTGGTATCAGATTTTCATAGTTGCAACTAAAATGTGCCAACAAGAAATGAAACTGTAATTTTATGGAAAACCTACTACCATAAACGTCAACTGCTCTTCAAATCAACTGTTGTTTGCTTTGAACAGTCAGTCCCAGAATCTACGACATCAACTTCTCTAGTTTCAGGAAAAGCAGGCCCACATAGCCCCTGGTCTCCCGGCAACCCTTATGTACCTCCTGGCTACCTTTCCCAGGAGAACTGCTGTGAGAACAGCTCCACCTTCCCTCCCTCTCCTCTCTGGACACCCCTCCCCAAACCCACCCAGTACTTCAGGACTGAGGACTATGCCAGTCACTACTGGGGGCAGAATATGAAGAGGTCACTCCACAAACAACGTAAAATCTAACCTTACATCTCTTTGCAGTTCAACAAACCCAGAACTCACCTGCATTTCTTCTTGAATAAGGACTTTATCTGACATTGGAACTGGATACGGTTTCAAGGGAGCCTTTATAGTGGCAAATATGAACTCTGTGTGGCTTTCGATAACATTATTCAGATACTTCCCTTCAGACTTTGCTTTATAATAAACTGTTATTTCATCAGTTGGAACCAGATTGCACTGAAAGTACATACAGAAAATTTAAAAAGGAAGCACATTGTTAATCAAAACGTATGGTGATATTGAACAGGACTGATGACAGTCCTGTGCTGAATCATTATGGGAGCACACAGGCTCCTGCCCAATCCTCCTCTGAAACAAAGGAGTGACTGAGCAAAAACCCACTTACAAAACTCTGAACTGAGGTAGAGTTCACAAGCATTCCATTACCTGCTGAAAGTGGACTCCTGAGACCCAGAACTACAGGTCTCAGACACCTGGCCTGAGGAGGGAGGGTGGGAGCCCCCGCTCTGGTCAGTGTGAGGGAGCCTCTCCTCGGAGCCGGGGATGGGAGACCTTCCTTGGGTGGGGGAGCCTGTGCTTTGGTGGGAGGTGGGGAAGCCCCTCCTCGGGGTTGAGGGATGGGAGCTCCTGGCTCCCTCACCTGGTGGGGCAGGCAATAGGCTTGGGCCCCTGCCCTGGCTCCCAGCTCCCCAGTGAGGAAGAACCACCCCTCTGTCCAGATCCAACAATGTCTCCCTGAGCTAGGAGCCCTTCCTCAGACACCCACTGTCCTCTCTGATGACCTGCGCCAGTAAGGAGGGCTATCTATCCGGATGATTCTGTGGAAACCCTGGGGAACTGAAAGAGGTGGACTAGGGGGACAGGTTGGCTGAAAGTTCCTGGTCAGAGAAACAAAAGAGCCATGTCCAGCTTGGGGCAAATGAGTAGGGAGTGGAAGGGGGCCTACTTTTCCTGCAGAGCACAATGTGAACAGACCATAAACCATTACTCAATTACAGTGGTTTATATTACCTTCCTCTCCTGTCCTACCCAACAACCAAAAAACCAAACAACAACAACAAAAAACACAAAACAGTTAGCTTGTTCTTAATGTGACAAACTGACCTTTTTGCGAAGTTTCTGGATGCGATTGATGACCTCCCGAGCCACTCCTTCATCCACCATTGACTGGTCGGGGGTGACATCTAAGAGAACCAAAACCTGTAGGAATGAAGAGTGCATAGCACGACAATCAAATAAGGAGGAACAGTTATCTCAAACTTGGCACAATTGTACTTAAGTTAAATTCTGAGAAGTCTGTCATGTAGCACTAATTATTCTGAGCAAAGGAGATAAAATTAAGCTAGTTTCATTACGGTTCAGGTGCTTCTTTGTAAGGAGCTATTCCTTCCACTGGGACAGGTCCAGCGCCTCCTTTTCTTCTGAGGAGGGCCACTCCCAGGATTGGAGCAGTGAGTCTCCCGTGTAACTGCTCTTCGTCTGTGTGACGGGCAGTCACTGCCCTTGCAGGAAGTGGGGTCGGGGCCACACAGCCCTTCACACCGCCAATGAGCCCGTGAGGGCCCCAGAGCAGCCCACTGTTTTCTTCCGCCAGGAGCCTTTTCAACCCTTAGTCCGTCAGTGTGATTCAAGACACGGTTTCTACAGGAGACCCCGACATGTTTGATAGGATTTAAACCGTCATCTTCTTCCCGACTTCATCTACTTCCTACGCCATCTGTCGTGAAGGACGTCGATGACGTAAAAATGCGGTGTCACCGCCCACAGACGGGGATACACTTGTAAGTCAAGCACCAGCTGCATGGATGTTTCTTTCTTTTCTTAAAGATTTTATTATTTGTCAGAGAGCGTGAGCACAAGCAGGGGCAGTGGCAGGGGGGAGAGGGAGAAGCAGGCTCCCCGCCGAGCAGGGAGCCCGAAGTGCGACTCAATCCCAGGACCCTGGGATCATGACCTGAGCTGAAGGCAGATGCTCAGCCGACTGAGCCACCCAGGCGCCCCAGCAGGAACGTTTCTGAGGAAATTTTATCAGAAACTTGCTCTACTTCATGAGGGCAGAACTGAAGATGGGTGGCGAGGCGGGGCAGGGCCACCCCAGCGCACAGTACATGAACTGTGTCAGCAATCTCAGAAGACCAGGACACTTCCTTCATTGACTTCCTCAGGCTGGCTGCCATCAGGGTGTGGGCTCTTCACGCCGTCTGCCCACATGGAGCTCGGCCTACATCTAATTCAAGCCACTGCAAAAGGCTTGAGGAGTTTGAGGAGGCTGGCCTTCCTCACATGGTACTCCCCACGTCCCGTGCACATGGTTACGCACAGAGGAACTCCCACAAGCCCCCCACGCCCAACCTAGAGATCTTATGACCTGTCTGCCAGAAAAGTCTGGTCAAGAGCAAAGAGAGGGGGCGCCTGGGTGGCTCAGTCGTTAAGCGTCTGCCTTCAGCTCAGGTCATGGTCCCAGGGTCCTGGGATCGAGCCCCGCGCTGGGCTCCCTGCTCGGCCAGGAGCCTGCTTCTTTCTCTCCCGCTCCCCGTTTGTGTTCTCTCTCGCTGTGTCTCTGTCAAATAAATAAATAAAATCTTAAAAAAAAAAAAAAAAGCAAAGAGAGATGCTCTGATCCATCACGACAAAAAGCACTGACCCCAGAATCCAAAACTGCTGCACATCCTCCTCCAGGATGTGCCTCCCCAACCTGACTCCATGCCAGGCTTCGGAAAGGAGCCCCTCTCTGTGCTCATTTCTACCAGATAACTTACCAAGCAGAAGAGTAAGAATTGGCTTACTTTTCTGTCTCTATGACTGGCTCATTCCTTGAAGGGTGGGGTTACGTCTTATTCATTTTTGTAGGACCCAACACTTAGGACAGTTGCAAGCAGAGGTCACAAAATGTCTATTTACATATATGCTAAAGAAATGCGCATGTAGGGACGGGGTGCCTGGGTGGCTCAGTAGGTTAAGCATCTGCCTTTGGCTCAGGTCATGATCCCAGGGTCCTGGGATTGAGTCCCACATCAGGCTCCCTGCTCAGCGGGGAGTCTGCTTCTTCCTCCACCTCTCCCCCCTGCTTGTACTCTCTCTCAAGTAAATAAAATATTAAAAAAAAAAAAAAGAAAAGAAATGCGCATGTTAAGAGCATACAATGGAGTAATTTAATAAACCCAATCTAAAATGAATATCTGGTTTATTGTACTCTGAGACCAGCTGTCAACACTCAGGAAAGGCACAGGCAAATTACCTTTTCCTCTTATGTTATCTTTTGGTAAAGAAACATTCTAGGGAAGAGAAAAATACCTGGGCATCCGAGTGCGCTTCATATCGCGTCGTCCCTCCTATCATCTGATCAAAGGTGTACATGAGGCGGATGTCCTCTTCATGCAGCTCATGGCCTTCTACAACAATGGTTCCTGTTGGAGAAGCAACTGCCACTGTGAGTCAGCCCCTCCGCATCCTCCTCTTCACACCTCCCAGCTACAGTACATTATGCCAATTTTCACAGCATCAAGCTGCAGAGACTTCAAGAGGTCATGTTCTCCTGACTCATATCCTTTATACTTCCCCATACTGCCTTGAGGACAGTTAAACCACCAACGTCTCCCGTGTAAATGACTCCCCAGGTCCAAAGGCATGTGCATCCCCACCATAAACACAAAGCAGAGTGATGTACTGAAGACAGCAGGCTGCAGAGTCCAAGCAGACCCAGGCCCACCACTCACTGGCTGCAGGACCCCAGTGCTCCACTATCTGCTGAGAAGGGTGGGGCAAGGATGAAGTGAACAGGGTCAGGTTCTGGGCACCATCCTCCCACAGCAGGCAGAATGCATGAACGGGGGCGGGGGGGAGGGGGTGGCAGATGGCCATGCCTGTTTTCAGGGACGCCTGCTGTGGACATCCACAATGATCTTCCTGGTGTCAGCACTGGGCTGTCATTTTGACTATGTCACTCTGTTCTGAAAATTATTTTGGGCTGTCATTTTGACTATGTCACTCTGTTCTGAAAATTATTTTGCTTCCCATTAGCGCAGAAATCCACTCAGAAAGTAGTTTAGAAGCTGTAGGCCTTCAGTTTCAAATAAGGATTATTTCAAGAATTTTTAAATATTTGGGCCATCTGTTGAAACAGCTTAGATCTGTGATTTGAGGTTGGATCAAAGATTTTGTTAATTTAACAAATCAAGTTAAGTTAGTAAGGATTCAACTTTTAGTTGCTAGGCTTCTTACATTTTATCAAAAACGTGAGGACTCTCAGGGACATTTCTCTCAGTTCCCCGTAAGCACTCATCCGATTTCTGAGTCCTTCCATCTCTCTTCATGACAGGTCTGTGCTTATGATTTTCAACTTCAGAGGGAACCCTACCAACCAAACACCCTGTGCCCCAAAGTGGATGCACAGAATCAGGCAGCCATACTAAGACCCCAGAGCTGAGAATTCCCGGGCACCTGGAAAGTCCCCCAAAGGAGAGGAGAGAGGGGCTAAGTCCCCTTTCCTAACCTCCTCCTATTGTCCTAGACTTTTCCTTCAGAGCACTTATCAAAACTACAACTGTTTCCACAAATCTTCAGTGTCGGCCAGTACCTCGAGGGTAAGGACAACGTCTGTCTCACTCATTTCTGGGATCCCAGGGCCAGCCAAACACAAGGGCTTTAAAAAGTATTTGCTGAATTGGTCCAAATCCAGTCTTGCCCAAATAAGGGACCAAACTATGAATTCATGTCTTCGAGAAATCATGGTAAGTTCTGATCCAGTTCTCCCTCGAGGCAGCTCCAGACCTCATCGCTAAGTCCCTTTCTCAAAATCAACTTTAATCTTTTCTGTTGAATGTATTCTAGTCTTCATTCGGACACCTCCAAACACCATGTTTCTTCTCCACAAGCAACATCCAGTAACAATGAATTCGATACCAGGGGCTCTGTGCTCTCTTCTCACTAGGGTGGTTTCTAGGCTCCTATTAGCATGTACAGAATTCAGTGCTAACCAAAGGTCCACCCATCTGGTTCAGTCATTCTACCTAGAAATCTAGCCCAAAGGAATCGATTGCACAGAACATTTACATGTGAAAACGCTCACTGCTGGGGTGCCTGGGTGGCTCAGTC